CTTCTTCTTCTTCTTCTTCTTCTTCTTCTTCTTCTTCTTCTTCTTCTAGGCTGCTGGTTAGGAGAGCTTGTTAATAGGCATAAACACCCCATGAAATTTGCAGAATTGTCCCTTTCCTACACCCAGCTCTGAACTCATCTTTAAGATGCCATGAAACATGTACATAAGTCAGGGACAATGTTATCTCGTATATTGTTTCATTGAGCTTGGATTCCTTTATTGGACACTTTCTGGATGTATGACCCGGTTGAGCAATTAATTCACAAAGTCCATTCTATAGTGAGAGTGAAAGTTATCCCAACAAAGAGAATGTAGTTTTTCTTGAGGAGTCCATAAATGTATACCAACTTGGGTTGGGTGATGAGCCAATAATGTCTATCTCCTCTCTATGTCCAAGGTCATTTTTACTTTGAAAGCCATATCCTTCTTCGCTGATGCAATGACACACACGGATGAAGAATCACCATTAGGAAGTAGGGTGAAAACAACAAACATCTAGTGAGGCTTATCTAAAGGATTTCTTTTGAGACCAAGTGTATTGTTTCCTTCAAGCCAAATCTTATTGCTCTTATTGTTTCGGACCTATAATTTCACTCCACCTCATTTCTTTTAAGTTCAGCTACTGCTTCTTCTCCACTAGAACGTTAATTTTCTAAACAACTTTGCCTTCTAAATGGTTCCGCCACTATCTCTGACCTTTTTGGCTGTAAAATATTATTAGTTCACTTCATTCCCTCATTCATTCCTACACTCCTTCCTATTTGACAGTCTTCCCCACGGAAGTTCTAAATTTGAGTACAGACCTAGGATTTGGCATGGGAGAAAAAGCAAGGAATGGTAGAGAGTTTTCTGAAGAGCTGATCACCCTGTTATATAATATTGGGCACAGAAATTTCAAATTATCTCATAGAAATGGTGATTCCATCAATATCTGCTGTTCCCTTTAAAATTCCAGCAGATCGTGAATGCTGGTCCTAATCTAAAACCCTTAATTCATATTCATGTTTCCCAACAAAAGCCATCATGGATAATTTTAATCTAGCAAAAAAATAAAATACTTTGATCTTTTTTTAAAATGAGAATTATTTAGAATTTAGAAATTAGTTCCTCCCGGTTTGATGTTTCTTGATTTGACTTTAAGGGTCCAGATTGAGGGAAGGGCTTAAAGAAAGGAGCATAGTAAAATTTATTCTTTATTAAGAATTAGCATTTCTTCAACCTCCAAGATTCTGATCTTTGATTCTAATTTTATAAAAATAAGAGTACATTTTTTATCTGTAATCCACAGCCAATCCTTTCCAAAGGATGCAATTGTATGTGACACAAATCTTTGCACTTTCCATCTTTCGTTTTTCAAGATTTAAATCTGAGGATTCTTTCTCATCGAATGAACTGTCAGATATTGGCTTGTATTTTTTTAAAAAAAGCAATTTAAAAAACCCATCCGTGTTACAGTTTGAAAGAGCTGTGATGTGTTTTCTTCAGCAGCGTGTTTACTTCTGTTTGCAACCACATCCAGATTTTAAAAGCACACAAACGTTTATTGTATAGAAACAAACTCCTGTTTTCTCAATTGTATATTGAGAGTCATTGCTAACTTTAGTTTTCTTATGCAAGAATCTGTATAATACATGGATTTTACACCATGTCGTTCTTGCATTCACGTTTTAAATATGTTTTAAGTATGCACTTCTATAAGTAATGTGTGAAAGTTCCATAATTTTCAGTTCAGTTGTACCTATTACACTAACTTCCTAGTAAATGGATGCTCTATTATATTAGCTTCTTAAGATCAGAACAGGCAGACAAATATCAACTAATCAGCTCTATAAGGCTTTTGTGTATTTCTGCTGGCCTTTTGTTCAAAGGACTTGTAATTAATTATGTGGTGACATATCCAGAATTTTATGAGAACTAAAATACATCAAATGCAAAATAGGGTATGGATTAATGAAAGTCGTGTTTCCAATCTTTAATGTTAATTTAATGTTTTCCAGCTCTGAACCAGAATATAATCCAATCCAAGATTTTGCTTTAGTCAGGTTTTTTTTTTCAACTTGGGTAAATTACTGTCACTTTTCCAAACTGTAAGATATTTTGCATATGTTTTCCCTCTCTGCTTCTCTATTTCTTCTTCAAATTGTATATATTTGTATGATGTACATGAAAAGAATATTCATGACACTATAAATGTAATTCGTTTTGCATTTTTTTGTTTGTCAAGGTTTATGTATTCTCCGTAATATGTGCAGGCATTATGTATTATGTATATGCCTTTCTGCTCAGTGTAATAAAAATAATATTCTGAAATATTATAAGCTTCTGCGGGGCAGAAGACAATATGAATTTATATATAAAATATGTATAGGGGTATTATTATATATTGTGTAAGGCTTCGTAGGATATTTGCTATGAGTTGAGTCTCATTACAGTGACTTTATAGATCTGACTACTTGTAAAATTTCTGGCACTTCGGAACATCTTCTGGGGTTCATTTTCTAATATACTGTCATGTGGAGAAATGTAATGTGTGTCCTTGAGATTGCAGGGAGTGTGTATATATACACACACAAACACACAAACACACAAAGATATATATATATATATGGCAACAGATTAATCTGAGATGCATCAGTTATTGTGTACTTGCTCAGTTCAGGCAGCTCTGAGGCCCAGAAATATTCAAAAGCACGTAATATTCAAATCCCAAGTATACATGATTCTAGGTTCTTTCTGACAATTGCAAACCATCACTAATCCTTGCAATCTGTCGTGTGTTCTTGAGAGGTAGAGGTGGAGGAGGAGGAGAAAGAAAGAAGAAGAAGGAAAGAAGAGTAAGAAAGAGAAGGAGAAGAGGAAAGAAAGAGAAAGAAAATGAAGGAAGGAAAGAAAAGAGAAAGAGAAAGAGAAAGAGAAAGAAAGAAAGAAAGAAAGAAAGAAAGAAAGAAAGAAAGAAAGAAAGAAAGAAAGAAAGAAAGAAAGATGCTTGATTTCTGCAAATTACAGATTACAGATAGAATTCATGCATCACTTCCGTGATTTTTCCCTTGTTTTAATTTAAACGATTTCAGATAATCCTCAATTTACAACCACAGATGGGATTAGAAATTTCGTGGCTCAGCAGACAGTTGAGTCTTCTCCATTTTTTTTTTTTTTGGCTAAGGGAACCACTTCCGTTGTTAAGTGAGTCATGCAGTCATGAAGCAAATCCAGCTTTGACTTTGGACAACAGGAAGCCAGCTGGAGGTCTCGCAGTTGGTGAGCACATGACCCCTGGGATGTTGCATTTGTCATAAATCCATACCAGTGGCCAAGCTCCTGAATTTTGATGACATGACCCTGGGGATATGCAATGGTCATAAGAACACGTATCTTTTTTTCAGCGAATGATCACACTAAGTAAACGGTTAGTTAAATCAAGGACTCTCTGTTATTCAGAGTCCCGTTGTGAAATCCTTTTGAAACTCCCCTCCCTGGCCAGAAGAATCATCAGCTTTTGGAGATAACCCAACCAAAAACACTCCATTGTCTACCTTGCCAAAGGAGCATTATCCTTCATTGTGTCTTCCATCCATGCTACTCTTTCTTTCTATCCATCAGCAACTTCAGGAGGTTTCTTTTGGAGCGAACTTCTCCCTTCTGCTGAGCTGCTATCCTGGATTTTGTGAAAGATCACTGGGAAAAATAAGAAGTGCCTC